ACAAAGGCAGAGAAGATGAAGAGATCGTTTAGAAGATCCCCCTCGCTCCCTTCATCGCCTTTCTTCACCTCCTCCCCCTCCTCCTCGTCTCCCTCCTCTTCCAGCTGATTGACAGCGCCCCCTCCACCCCCAGCCAGCGCTCTTTGATTGACAGGACTCCCCAGACTGAAGCTCTTATCCCCTGAAACAAACCCTGCTCTGCTCCTTCTCACCTCCTTTCTCTCCTCTGTCTGCCTAGACAAGCCTACTCCCTCCACTCCCCCTCCCTTTCTCCTCACCCTTCTCCTTTCTTCCTTTTACTCCCTGTAAATGCTTTCTTATCATGTTCACCTCCTTCTATCGTTTTTTCTACCCCTTCCTCCTTCCTCTCTTTCCCATCATCTCTTCCTGAAGCTGTGACCCCTCTTAACCCTATAGATTACACACACACACTGTCACACACACACACACACACTGACACACACAGAGGGAACCCCTTAAACCCCTCAGGCTTATGTGGGGCCCCTTTAGACTTCGAGAGGACACACACTGGTACCCATAACCCCCACACAACACACACACACACACACACACACACACATATTCACACACTCTCAAACTGCCTTCCTCAAAGTCTTGACACTGATCTAAGGCCCTGAGCACCCACTGGCCTGAGACTATAACCCCTCAACTGCACAGCATACACACACACACACAGCCTGAGCCTATTAAGCCAATCGTAGAAGTCTAAACAGGCAGCGAACTGAGCAGTGAGGTAGGTAACCCCTCCGGGCCACAGAGAGAGTAAAACAGAGTCAAAGAAGGGAAAAGAGAAAGAGGGAGAAGGAGGGAGGGAAGGGGGAGAGTATGAGGTGGAGCAAGGGTGAGAAAGAGCAGGAAAGAGAGCGATGAGCAAAGGGGAAGTGGAAGTGTGGGAGGAGAAAGAAACAGAAAAAGAGGAGATGAGGATGTTGAGTGATTCAGAAAAAGACAGTAGATACAAGGAGGAGAAACTGAATGGCAGCCATACACACACACACACACACACACACACACACAGACACACAAGAGGCGGAGAGTGGATGTGGCTCTTTAGGAGTCAAGCAGGCGTATGATAGGATATCGTTGCATGTCGTTAACCCTATATTAACCCTGAGAGGCAGTGGGACACTCACTGTGCTACAACATGGATTAACTGGGCCACACACACACTCTCACACACACACACAGACGCTGGTCCGATGAGCAAGCTGTCTGTCAAACACATACACACACACAAATGCACACAAGGACTGATATCCTCACTGACACCATGCAATGAGCTGTCAATCACATGTAAACACCCTTTTCTCCATTTCCTTCACCTGTTTTTTTACCCACGAATAAATGCAGGAGTCAGTAGCGTGTTTTGGACGTTATATAATATCACAATAAAATGGCATTTTGACGTCATCTTATTTTCTTTATTTTATGTATTTCCTGTTAAACCAGGAAGTTGGAGACAACATGCTGACAGGAAGGGCAGCATTCTTTAAAGAAAATGGTTTTATTGGTTCAGCTCACTGTTTACTCCACTGTTGGTCTGGGGGAGAGTACTGGCATGTGTTTCCTCCAATAAACATGGAGTCACGCCACCCGCTCGTGAGGAGCTTCAACAGGATGGCGTAACACGTATGAAGGTGCATGCTCTGTCCCAGATCCCACACTCCTCTGTCCAGGTGCTATAAAGAGCCAATGGGAGTCATAAATGCGGTGACAAGAGCATAATCCCGCACTAGCTGGCTCATGTCAGAAGAGCACAAACAATATCACTGATATAAATGCAATCCCTTATTCCTGGCTTTTAGGGCTTCCCCCTAAACAGCAATGATTCGAGTCATCAGTCAAGAAGCCGCAGAGTCGACTCGCATTTTGTAAGTTTAATCATTGGCCTTTTCATTGCACACAGAACAACAGTCTCAAAATTGTCTAACAACAAGACTAACTGTAATGGAAATAAAGAAGCAGTGCAGAGCAACTTGTTTCTGTCCACCCATCTGATGCTCTAAACTCTGGTGCTGAATGCTACTTTTACTCAAAGAAGAAGAACTCAAAGCCTTTACTAAAGTAATCGTAGAAAAAACATGGTCTAAAAACATTCAATTAGATGTAAAAGTCCTAAATTCAAAATGTTGCAAGAGGTATCAGTCTACTTAAAGTATCATAAGTAAAAGTACTTATTATGCACAAAGATTATTCTGTTTTTATCAGAGCATTTAACACGTGAAGCCAGTTTTACATTGCAATGGAGCTGCATTACATACATTGTATACTACTGGTAAAGTAACTAGAAGCCAAATAAATATAGTGGAGTAAAAAGTGCAATATTTCCCTCTGAAAGTGAATGTAGGAGTATAAGTATAAAGTATAGAATGGTACAAATACGTAGAAATTGTACTTAAGTACAGTGCCAGAACAAATGTACTTAGTTACTTTCCACCACTATTAACATTAAATAAATAAAACACATTATTTTTTACTGTATAACTCAATGACTACATGTGATTTTAGTTGGACTTCCAAAATATTTGCCTGTTTACAAGCAGTGGCTCACTTATAGCATTTTGACTTTGTCTCTCTCTCTCTCTCTCTCTCTCTCTCTCTTTCTCTCTCTCTCCACATGTTTGGGTCGGACAGCAGAGTTCCAGATGTTAAACTGAGAGGCTGTGAACCACTGCGAAGTAGAGGGGGGATACAGGAAGTATCCCACGGTATCCACGGTAACCTTGACATTCCATCCTGACCAAGTTCCCTGACATCTCCCACAATTCACTCTGCTCCTCTCCTCCAGCCACCAAACACACACGCACGCAGACACAAACACACCCACTAATAGTGCCCAAACATCAATGCTTAAAACAGTCCAGTAACACAAATATTATTATTATTATATATTATTTTGTCACTTTGTGTCTAATATATCACCTATTCTTTCAGTGGCCCAACCCAAGTCAAACACACACACATACACAGACAGCTTCCAGGCAAATATATAATGGGGTGTAAACTGAGATGTCTGAGATAGCCGACAAGAACAGAAGTATGTGGCTGTGGTGTAAAGATACTATAATGTCCTGCACACACACACTCACACACACACACACACACAAACACACACACACACATAAATGACACAACTGTGTGTAGCTGTCGATCATGAAGCCTTTTGCACTTTGTGTCTTACATAGGACACACACACACACACACACACACAAACTGATATTTGTGCACTTTGAAATAGCTCCATCAAAGCTCACTTTGAGACACAAGTGTTTATCCACTTCATAAGATTTCTCCAAACACAAAAATAAGTAGGGGGAGAGGAGGGAGGGGAAGTGAGAGAGAAAGGAGAGCAGAATCCTTAAAGCTAATAACAGGAATTAAGGGCTTGACTTGGGAGAAGAGTGGAGAGAAACATTTTAACTCCTGTTTACATATCATCAAAAATGGCAAAGATAGGAATTTATATTAATGGGGTCAGGATATAATAAATAATATAATAATATTTGTGTAAAGAGTGAATTCAAAAAGTAAAAAAAATATATATATAAATACACACTGACTGCAAAAAAACACACAAGTGACACCTAAAACTATTGTAACATTTGTCATGGTATAACATTTGATTTGATTTGCTAAAAAAATCTAATTATTTAAGCTCTATTAAATAAAATTCCATCTAAAACTGTTTTCTCTCTGATCTTTGGTGAAGACAAAATAACAAATCAACTACTACAAAACTACACAAATGGCTGTCTCAATTGTCAAAACAGTCCTAAATAATTGCCTTGGGGTCAAAATCTTACTTCCTGCCAAATTCTAAGAATCAGAAACTGATAAAATAGAAAATTGTCGTAACCATAATCATTAAATTGAAGGGAGAAGCCTGAGTATCCCTAAAGGTAGTTAGTCAATTATACCTTAAAAAAAATTTTTTTTTTACCTTACATCAGGTTAAATTGTATCATATTTACTATAATCTCCTTTAAAAATGACTTCTATTTCCATAGAAATGTACATTAATTCTATATATTGTACTGTGAGCCGTGAGTTAAGGTGGATTTTATCTTCTGCTGGTTACAAGAACAAAGAAAAAAGATTACTCGGTTCTCTGATAATGTGTTGAGAGTGATGCAAATCAGCAGCCTTTCACTCCAGTCTCTGTAAATTACTCTTCCAAACACACACAGAAAAACCTGCTCACAGAGGGTTAAAACAACTGCCAAGAAGAAATCAGATTAAAATGAGGTTGGATCTCATTTCAGTTTTTCTCTGTCACTTTTTTCTTTGCTCATGACCCATTTTTCTGGGCTGCTGCAGGAGAGACGGGGGGGGGGGGGGGTAAGGGAGGGATAACTTCAGTCCTCCACCTCGACAGACAGACAGGAAGAAAGAGAAGGTGGCAGTGAAAACGACAGACAGCTTCTGCTAGTAAACAGCTCTGTATTTTGCATTACGTAGAGGAAACACACTCATCTGAACGCTGTTTGTTCACTCAAGTCTGAAGCTGTGCATGGGTGTGTATGCGTGTGCGCACGTGCCTGAACCTGCCAGCTATGAGGTAGTAGCTGAGCAGCTGATGTGCATTTGTTTTCCCCTCTGCACAGGTCAATGACCACATCACTGAAATGCACATGTAAATGTAAATGAAACGTGTGTGTGTGTGAGTGTGTGTATGGACCTTTAATTCCTGTACATTTCAGCCATTCACCACCTCTGACGAGTCCTGCTGTTTGACTTCAGTCTCAAATGTTTCACTCTTCTGTCTTCCATCAGAAGCCATCTATTCTATCTAAGGAGCGTCTATTTCAGGAGTGACAGCAGATCATCTAAACACACAAACATCCCGTCACACGCCACCATTCAAACAGGTCAACACAGTCCCTCATCCAGTATGTGTGTGTGTGTGTGTGTGTGTGTGTGCACAGAAGAGAGAAAGTAAGAGATGGAGTGAGAGACAGTACCTGTCGATGATAACAGGGTCTGAGGGTGTCTCATTACGGTTTCCGCAGCTCTTCTTGTCACAGCACCGACTACGAGAACAAAATGACAGCAGAAGAAAAAGACAAAAAAGAGTCAGACACAAGGAACATACAGTACATTACATGGGAGTTCAAATTTAGATGTTTAAATGGGAGTGTTACAGCATATTATGTGCTTTGCCTGCACTGATGTAGAGAACTTAACATTAAATTCACAGACATTGATCGGATCTGTCTAAAACAGGCCAACAAGAAAAGTCTGCAGTGCCGAGCAGGTCTACACTAAAAGCGTGGACAAAAATAGACTTATATGACATGGAAAGTGAGTGTAAAGCAGGATCTGAAAAAAGTACACTGAGTTTTTAAGGGACAAACCAGCCGGTAAGGTTAGCCATTTTGTGATACTTTAGTGGTTTAGATTCAGAGGTTTTATAACAAATATCAGCAAAGACACAAGTGGATTAAGACTTCCACAGGCTGTTTCATCTCCATGATCCCCAATCTATTAAAATTGAGGTTACAGATAATATCTACTTTGAAGCTCTGGTCGGTGCATCTTTTCTTATTTTACTGACCAATTGCTGCTGTGCTGCATTGCTTGTTGCTGATACCTGACGGTTTGCCTGGGAACGGTGTGAATACATACACATCCAGCTGCTTCTTTTCACACCTGCCAGCATAAGGTGCGCCCCAGATCCAACCATTCTTTACCCAGATGCCCCAACCAATCATCAATCAAGGAGTCGCTTGTGCAGTCAGACTGTCCTCCTATGAAAAACGACTTAGTCGTTTCAGCAAGTGCCCCAAAACGACTTTTAGTTTAAATTCAAGCAACAAAACCCTGTAGCGGCTATAATTACGACTCTTATCCGTGGGGAGAATAAGGATAACGTAAGGAGTTGTTATTATAGAGACACAATGTCACAGAGGGTGAGTGTCTGGGTGGACAAATGGGACACTGTTCGTTTTGCAGTTTCCTACTGACAGTCAACATTGGTTTCTTTTAAGCATGACCACGATTGTTTCCTAACATTAAGTACGTGTTTATTATCGTAACCATGATGACGAAGGTATCCTAAATTTAACAAAGCAGTAATTTTAACCTAAACCACAATGTTTCCCTAAACCTAACCAAACCTTAACAACAGCATTGTCATAATAAAACTGATTTCTTTTTTAGCTGTTTCGGAAGACACAGACAAACAACGTCATGACAATTTTTTCTTCTTTATAATCACTGAAATATCCTTTTGTTTAGGGCTGGGTTCTGATATCCAGCTCCTTTGTAGATCTCTAAATTGATATGTCTGGTTGTTGTTAAGTTGCATGTCCAACAAATCTTTTAGTTTTTGAGTGGAACAAAATACACAAACCAGGTCGTTCCGTCAGTCTCCCTAAAGAATGAACCAATGAAGCTTCATCCTATAGTCATGTTTTTAAAAAACTGTGTAATGTCTCTCAGTCCAATTGCTCTGTAGTAGTTTTTTCATATCTGAGAAAAATAATTATGTCATAGTGATGTCATCAGAGTTATCTTGGGCTTAGAGACTCCAAATTCATAAAAGATAACCTTTGGCCTGTGTTACAAACTAGAGGTCTGGAGTTTGAACGACATAGAAATTTACCAAGCAGGAAGCGTCTAATGAAAGTTGCAAACAAGTTGCATTATTGGGGATGTAGGAATGAATCTTATAAAGTTGTGAATATTGTTTTATTTTTTAAAACTTGCAAAACATACAACTTCATGCATATGCAAGACTAAATCAAATAGTGCACTTTTTTAAGATCTGAAGCAACATTTTCTCTAGTTTTGAACCCGTAAACATTTTCTACTATGCAAGTCTTTTCAAAACACTTTGTGAAAACTTCCACACCATCCAAATTGTACTGATGAACAGATGAGTGAACAGGAGGGTGGAAAGGACTGAAGGGCCCTGAGGCTCAGAGGAGTAGGTGGGACACACACATGCATGCACGCACGCATGCACACACACACACACACGTTTAAAAAAAAAAACTGGCATGTGCCCCAAAATTCACACATATGTACAACGAGTCTGTCAAAGCTTTCTTGCGCGCATCAATTATGAATAAAGGTATAAGCGAGAGGGGAAGAATAAAGCCAGGGGGGAAGAGTGAAAGGGTGAGCGTGGGAGGGAAAACTAAAACAAGAGGGTGGGAAGAAGAGGAAGGGGAGATGTCTCAGGTTTCCCACCGTCACAGATGGCAGAGGAGGAAAGAAAGAGGCTGATACATTACACCTTACACATTGTCTCTACTATCTGCTGCTCTGCCTCTCTTTCTGCTCTCTCTGTCAATTCCTTTCTGCTGCTCTATGAACTGGGTCACTTCGTGGCCCCGTCGGAGAACAGCGCAGCACCAGCGAGAGGTTACAGGGGAGGAAAATGGGGAGCACGGGAAAAGAGAAACGCTATAAGCCTGAGGAGGGAGGGAAGGATGGGCGAGGGGGAGAAAGTAGATGAGGAGGGGAGATTAGGGAGGACAGTAGAGGATGAGAAGAAGGGAGCAGAGTGGAAGATGTTATAAATGGAGGGGTAGTGGAAAGGAAAACGAGGGGAGGGATGGGGGTAATGTAGCACTTATTGCTCTGGATCCTGGTGATCTAATCATCTGCCCTCACCCCTGCATCTCCCCTCCTCCCACCACACACACACACACACACACACACAGACACACACACACCCACACAGACACTTTAAACAATAGAGTCTCAATAGCATGAATTGGAGATACCATGGACATATTAACTGATAATGAAAATGATTGCTAGTGGCATTCATAAAGCAAATTAAGATATTTTGGTACAGAAATATGAGTAAAATACTACAACAAACTAACATCATCATACTTGTGACTCTTGTGAAGGCCAATAAAAAGTCCAGCTGCATTTGTTTGCTGTTTTCTGTGTTGTCATTCCATAAAATATAACAATAAATTTATCTATATTTGATTATCTTTGAGTATTGTTCCCTAAAGAGATTTCTCAAGATGAAGCCATTTACAGTTCTTAGCCCTTTAAACTGCTGCTGTCCAGTCATTACAAATGTGTGCAGTCAAACGATGTTCAAACTCACAGAACTTTATCTAAAATTTTACTGGAGATCCAAAAGTTTCCAAATACATCGGGCTGAATTGTTTATAATGAAATAAAACGTCTATAAAATGATGCACAGAATATATAGAATGTTTCCATTTGATGAAACAGAAAATGTTTCACTCAGTGTAAACATCATGTACAAATATTACTGTCAGACAGTGTGGAAAAAGCTCTGTTAAATACAGAGAGATTAACTCAAACCAATATTTTTTTGCCGCCCCTTCTCATCCATTCTGGAGTAAAACCATTCATGTGTTCGTGCCAGAGCTCCAACCAGGTTTACGACGAAGGTCTGTGCGGTGGCAGATTGGCTGAGAGCATATGGCTAATAGCACCACCATGACAATGAGCCACACTGATTAATGGACGCCCTGAGCTCTTTGTGTGTGTGTTCTACGCTGTGTGTTGCGTGTGAGGCCCCCGCTGCAGAATCAGCATGTAAGAACATGAGGCAACAACCGTAACTTTGACCTCAGCCGCTGTTGCAGACAAGCAAGTGTTTACACTCGTCGCAGAAGTCATACTTTCTGCACTGCCGCTGAGGAAACGTTTGAATATCAGAGGAATTCCCACTGTACAAGTTCATGTATACTTTACACGTTATACAAAGCCGTTGTGTCCATAATGCATTCTCCACATGATGAACAACAATAATTTACGATAAAATCTGTTGCCAAATACAATTTATTTATAAATTCCTTGTAAATCATATCAGAATTCCAATGGGCTTTCCGTAAACCTCTACAGCTGAACTGCCTGAGGATATTCAGTGAGCTATAGAATAAAATATTAGTGTGCCTGATTTCACGGCTAAAATCCCTGCTTGTGCATATAGATGAACCCCAATTTATATTGTTACAGTTAAAGTTGTTCAGTGACAAGGTCAGGGATAAAGAACAACTTAATTCATGTGCTAAATTTGAATTTTTATAACTGTGGTGTGCACGAGCGAGCGTGCATATGCATACTTCTTTGTGTCTATGTGTGTGTATGTGTGTGTGAGACCCTGCCTATATTTTATAGTCAGATTGTGGAGGAAGGCCCATTTGTTAGCCATGAAACAACAGGAGGGTTCAGATTGACTAATGAGTTTCTCTGTGTCCTAATTAACCAGGCGTCACAGACACACACACACACGCGCGCACACACACCACGCATGCATCCACACACACATTTTCTATTGTATAGGATAGGTTGGTAAAATGCCTCTATAAATAGAACTCTTTCCTCCCAACCTACTTCCGAAGAAATTCATCTTTAGATTATAATTAAAGCAACGACTCTGATAGCGAAAACTCATCTTCCTCAACAGATATGGCTTCATGCGTATGTGTATGGATGCGTCTGGGTGTGTATGTGTGGGGGGGTTAATGAGGGTGACAAAATAAGAAATGTATCGAGTACAGAGAAGTGATTAGTGAGAACTTTCCGCAGACTAACAAAGTACATTGCAGAAGAAAAGAGGAAAGAGAGGAGGAGAGAAGAAAGGATAGAAGGAAAAGTACAAGCTAAAACGATTGTATGAAGATGGAGAGGAGGAAAATTTGATGCTCCCATTCTCACCTGCACATGATCTCGTGTGTCAGCAACACTCTGCACATCTCTGGGTTCTTGTCTTGGCCTTCATAAACAATCGCCTGTAAAGAAAGAAAGAAAGAGAAAGAAAGAAGAAAATACACTGTTAGATCACAGACAGCAAAACAGGATAAAAACAGAGCTTGAATCCAGCAAACAGTATTCAGTGTTTCCACTGATTTGTTTCATTGATTTCAAGGGGAATTTGACTGAATCGGACCTGTTTATAAAAAACTGTTAACTAATTTAAAACATCTGCTACTGTAGTGTCTAGCAAACGTTACTCAAACAGGAATAAATGGTGCATTTGTTGGGACGTTCAATAATATCTGAACATAGGCAGGTTGTTCATAAGCTTGTTAGAGGGAACCAAGCTCTACCAAACAGACCCTCCGATTGATGCCTTTCATTGTCTGCATCAGTGCATGGATGCATAAAAACTTATTTGCATGTTTTCAGACCGCTGCACTCTACATCTACCAAAATTGGTGAGAGGAGATGGCTATATTTTGCAGCAGTGTGATGTGAGAAAATGCAATTACAATGTCACACTGTGAGAAATACTCTAACTCCGGTGTACATTTATTTTTCTTCCGTCAGTTATGGCAGCAACTCTGGCAGAGTGTTGTTGGGGTAACAGGTTAGATCCCACTTCACCTCAAAGAACACATGTTCAGCATTAACACCTCTACTTCACAAACACACACTCACACCCTTTGTCTCCGCACTGGGCGTCTGTCGCCCCATGCACACCTTGTTCACACACCTTGTTTCAGAAAATCAAATAAAAAAATAACAACCGCATCTCATCCTGTCACATGCTGATCAGGTGAATCTGAAGTTAAAAGCAATAAAATATGTTCACAGAGCGGTGGCCATAGTTTCTGCTCAGCTGAAGCTTTGCCTGCTTCCATTATACAATATTCCTGGTTCTGGTGAGGAAGCTCAGGATAAAGCGAAAAGCACACGTCACACACCACTAAGCTATCTATCAATCAATACGCACACCCTGTCTGTCTTTGGTCTATTCCAGTCTGTTTGATCTGTCGCTCCAAACTCCAGCAAGTCTCACCGAGTGACAAGCTCACTTTTCTCGGGGAACGGTGAAGAAGTTTCAGTGTCCTCTCTAATAGTCTTCAGCTGGGGTTCAGACTACCTGCTGCCATCGAGTGAACGGTTGGTTTGAGTTTGCAAATGAAGGTCATTCAGCTGTGAAAGCTTAACAACTCTAAACAACATGTAACACTTCTGCTGATGCCATCTGTGGAAAACACTGACAATACACACATTATTGACACATTATGCCTACTCACTGTCTAACTGGCTCCAAAAACCCAACTCATTTCCCTACTGTTTCTTTCCCCTTTGGTCGGCAAAGGTCACTTTTTTTAAAAGACGAATACTGTAAAAATCTTGCTTGTGTGTAAGCTTGGAGTATCCCACCAGGGGCCCCAGGGCAAGCATGTTCTATATGGGGCCCCAGCATGAACCAAGACTGTAGACTGAGCCCCTCATTTGCAGAAACTACAGTCCTACATGGTCCTCAGAAAGTAGCTTGGAGCTTTGCAGCATTAATGGAGAGCAGCAACAGTGGTTGTACAGTCTGAGGGCCCCATTACAATATTGTTGTACCCTAAAGCAATTCATACTAATAGCTAGTTGTCTCCAGGACCCTCTGTGTTTTCTGGAATTGGAGCCCCCCATTTGTTTCAGAGCCTGAGGCCCATGTCAGTCAGAATTTTCCATGCATGTGCATATATTCCAGTTAAAAAAAAAACTCTGCAGAAAATGTATCGACACATGAATCTGAAAGCCTGAAGGGCTCCTGGCAGTCCAGGACGCCCAGTCTGTGCAGCCATTAGTTGTGTGATATGAAACAAAAATAATCTGATCTCAAAGCAGAACGTGCAACTACTGGTAGACAGAGCTAGTGCTAAGCTGACATTTCTACGAAAGAAGCTGTGCAAGGTGACAGACATGATGGCAGAGCAGAGGCTGATGTGCAACCTCAGCCAAATGGGACGCAAATTCATTCCAGAGAGCAAAATAAACAGGTGAAAATATTTCAACTGGCCGCGGCCCAAGCAAATACGCTCCTGTTAACACAGCACTGAGGTTGATCAACAACAGCCACGACATTTGAAACTGTTTCTCTAATCCCTCGCCATCAACTGTAATATTTTCCTTCGATTGTGGCTTACTGAAAGCAAATCTGTCTGTGGGAACTGTAGGAAAAGATAGAACAGACAGAAGAGGAAATGTACTTTATAAGCCATAGTTCTGTCTATGATTAGACCTGCTCATTGTGCCATGGGAAAAGAGTGGGCCAGGCAACTTCCCCTGAACTTGTTTCCTGGACAAACATGCATCAGTGTCATCTCAACCTCTCACGTCTTCTTTATTTTTTGCGCTTTTGCTCTTTTGTTCTCTCTCTCTCTCTC